AAATAATGTGAAGTTAAGAGTTCAACACATTAATTTTTCCTTCTTCGTTTTCGTTTCCTTTTCGTTCATTATACCTGCTGTATATATACATATATATGTGTATAAGAGAAATTGTGACAAGTAAGAAAAAAAAGAGAAAGCAAGAGATTGGTCAAGAGCGAAAGAAAAAGAAATTATAGAAGCAAAGAGAAGAAAAAGAAATTGATCGAAAATACGACCAATGACGAGATATTATACGATATAGTTTTAACTGTGAAAAGAATTATGATAGTTTTCAAGTAAAATCAGTTTGCCTTTGATTGATTTCGTCATTATTACGGTTTCTTTGAGTTTTCTTTGACACAAAACAAACTCGTATCAGTCAAGGAAGCACTACGTACACTCGAAATTATCAGATAATGATGTTAACTGATTTCTTTTCAAGCGCGGATATTCGTCTTGTTCATACATTGATGGGCTTTTATTTAGATTTTCTGTATTCTTCTTTGCTGCATGATAGGCTAGTGTTCTGTATTGAAAATGAACAATTACGATATTTCAAGCGCATTAATTAAGCAGCCGATGCGGATGCTCATTAGTTTATATTTCATACGTGCGCTCTGTTAAATAACACAACTGCAACACTGAACGTGTGCTTCTTCTTAAAAATTGTCTTTTGCCCATTTCATTCGATTAATGATAACATAAACATGTGTTTAGGTTTGAGGTGTTAACAGAAAGCAATCATTAAAAGAAAATCATCTTATGTATGCATTATTGACAGTCTATTTATATTAACTCATCTGAATGATAGCAAAAAGGTAACAGAAACATTTAAAAAATAGAAATAAAAAAGAAAAAAATGAACACAAATAGTTAAAGTTCATGAATTTTCGTGTAAATGCCAGTTTCGATATTGTCTGTTGAATTTCTGACATGTTTGACACCCTTGAGATCGTCGAAAATGTAGAGGTGATCGTCGTTGCCGATAAGGGTGGTAGTGAAATGTGCATTTTTGTGATTTATCACATCACGTAACTTGTAGCTAATAAAAAAGTTGGAGCGTTGGAGCCAGTGAAGAGACGAATCGCCACAGCATTTTCTCATATTTACCCTTGATGCCATATGATCAAGGTACTAATTAGCGATTTTCTCGTTGATGACTCTGTCAAAAGTGAAAAGTAAGATGTGCAATCGATAGAGCATGAAAAGTTCTACCTGTTGTCGTCAGTAATAGAGTTGGAACCAGTGCAGAAACGAATCGCGACAGGGTTTCCCGGAATTGCCGAAGTTTGCTGTCGGTTTTTGACTATAATCCCGGGGTTTCTCCTTGGTAGTACGATAAATTTTTGGAGCGACAGCTGGAACAGAAAGCGCTGGTCCAGTGGCGCTTAGAGCCAACGGAAGTGGAATTGGAACCAGCCTGTGGGCGAATCCTTTCAGGAATTGCTCGAATCCTGACCTGGGATATCCTCCGTACGAAAAGAATAGAAAGTACAATACAGAAATGAAAAAACTGTTATGACTTAAAGAAAAAACAGAACTGTATATTTTCCTTCTGAATGAACTTTCATTTTTGACTCATCACTCATTATTTAATATACACGATTCTTTCATGCCTATACGTAATTGAAAAAAATTTGGAATTCTCAGAGTTCACTCTTGTGGAGCATCATCCTAGGAGAGTAAGTGTCTGGGGAGCATTTGTCCTAGGAGAGCAAGTGTCCGGGGAGCAACTGTGTGGGAAGCATGAGTCCGGGAATCAAGCAAAAGACAGATTAGAAGACCCCCCTTATAAGTAGTTGTTTTTCTGAGAATTTTCCGATTTTTTTTGCTTTTCGCATATGTGCACGTGTCTCTTTTTTCATCATATGTTTCTTTCCTTTCTGTCTTTCTGTCGTCTACTACTAGGAGCCATTGCACATGAAATAATAAGCAAAAAATTGTTGAAAATGACATTAACTGCTAAGGACACTGAAAAAATAACACTTCTCTAAGGGACACAATAGAAGACCCTCCTAGAACGTGTGAATGATAGGACAGAATAGAAGACCCCGGGTCTTCTAATCTGTCCAGGGCTTTACATATAAATGGATAGTAGCTAGCATAAACCGTAATAGAAAAAATGATCTGAATATGGATTTTCTACCCATGCATGAACATAGAGAGATATTAGAGCTATACGGATGGATAAAAAACGGTACAGACCGTTTTCCAGGGATTACTATTGCTACCTTCGTTCAGCAGCTGCTAGGCGCCATAGAATTCGCATTTGATAGCGATGGTGATAAGCAGTACAAAACGACATCTATATTAGAGGAAGATTATCCCCGTCATATAGCCAATATGCATGTCTTAATGCACTTTTTAGTACCTAAAGATTCGTACTCCCAACGTTATCAGATTGTTCTCATACCTGTATTCACATCTTCAGAAAAAGGTTTTTTACTCAACCATATACCGAGATATATAGCTATTGATGAAGCAGATAACGTACTAAAATTTGAAGGTGATCTCGCTAAAGATCAATGTAATTCTAGCAATGGATTTACAATTTGTCGAGAGGTATTCGAGCTGAGAACATATATCCAGAATATATGTCTGAGAGAATTAATAGAAGACGAGAAGTTTTTATCTTGCACAGGAAGCATAACCGGAACAATGTCACCATACACACTAAACTTCTTTTCCTTTTTCGTTTTAGGTTTAATCTGTATCCAATAATGAGTCGATCCTTTCCAATGCGTGACCCTTTGAAAATGTAGGACTTCTCCCATAATTGACGATAATGTGATTTGAAATCCAGTAATGGACCACTCTCAAAGGTATGGTGTATGATAACTGAGCCTTTCTTCTTCTGTTGGTTACATTTTCGTTTTGTTGTGCGCTTGCCAGAATCCATATCTTGTCTTTCTTGCTCTCGTTGTGTTGGTTTGTAGAGTAACTTTCGATGCAGTTGTTGATAGGCTTCCACATCCAATTGTTTCCATACGGACCTCGCATCATTTGCTGGTTCAGCCGCTGTTTTATGAAAGACTGATGTTTTCAACTCGCCATTTTGATTCTCAATGTATACATTGAGATACTCGACAGATTGGCCAATGATGCTGATAATTTGAATATGTACATCTCTTGTGCTGGCCTCTGCGAGCATCGTCTCCATGTCTCCCATGGACGAGTTGGATGTCATGAAAATATCATGGATGTATCTAGGTAGGCAATTTCATTAAGAGCGAGAAGATGTTGTCGCACCGCAACTCAAAGGCCATACAGTTCATTCTGTGCTGTTTGATCGTGGATCATGGGTTGTTCCCATTCGAGCATATAAATGTTGGCGAAAATCATTGTAAACGGTGATCCCACGATGGTGTCGACCAAGATATTTCCAATTTTGCTGTTGACAAATCAGGAATCAGCAGGAGAATGCGATTTCGCCTGTTGGAATCGCGTTTTTTTTGTGAGGTGCTACTATAGCAGTCTTTTGTTGTTACAAAAAATTTAAGGTGATAAAAGGGATCAAATACTATGTCGCATTGTCAAGGTCTTGAAAGAAAGTTGTGTTATGACGAGATAAAGATCAGAATGTCTTATGACGCGCTAAAAATTCTGCTGTAACATTGCATTGCGAGTGAAAATACTTTAGCAGGATCCCAACAAGATAGTACCAAGATCCCGGTGAGATTATAAAAAGGTTGCAAGAAGGCTGAGCAAGCTTTCCTGCCAGTTGCCTGCTTCTCCACCTTCTTTGAATAGTTTAATCTCTTTTCAACCAGATTTCATCATGTTTTACTGGGTATTTTCTTCGAGTACATAAATCAATCAAAGATTTTCTCCTGACTCACCTTCTTCAGAGTACACAGCAATTTATTTTCTTTGTTTTGAGCTTTGAACTCTAATTCATTTCAGCATCACAACGTCGATCTATTATTAATTTACTCATCTGAAGTGTGATAGTCTCTTTGCCGGCGAAAAGTTCGATCTCAGATGTGTCTTTTTAGTTCTTTACCGGTGTATTTTTCAGTTGTGATCCAAATGTCGCTGCTATTTGATCTCAGAATAGAAAGGGGAGAGGTTATTTTGCGTTCTACCCGTGAGTTTTGCCAATAAGGTAACGTTTGCCGTATGCGAAGAAAACATTCACGCTCAGACCTTCAGTGAATGAGTATCTGTAGATACTTGCCACTTGAATCAGTTCGTTGATGGAGCTAATCCAGAGTCCTGGATCGAGGTGCTTTGGCTGTGCCGCTATCCTCTGTGCGTCAAACAGGATCGAAATGATCGCTGCTACATTCTGAAAGACTCAAACGGCAAAACAATCTTGCACAGAGGTAGCTCACAGTTTCTGAAAATTCAATCTTTATGTGCATTACTCTCTCTGTTGCGCATTTTCATTCTGAGATCTGTTAACAGTGAACACATTTAGCTGAACGTACACATGGGAGAAGAGTGTAAGTTTGAAGCATTGTCTGAGGAAGTATATTCTCTTTTGATTTTAAAACTGTCAGGAAGAAAACAGTTCAGCTTTGAGACAAAAAAATAACTCGCTTCCTTCTTTTCGGAAAAATTGCTGTGTACTTATGAATGCCAACAGTCATATAGTTAGACTGATTCGATTAATTACAGCAAAACAAAATAAACACGGACAGAACAAAAGAAAAACATTCTTTGAGTGTTATGGTGTTATTCATCACTCGAAAGTGGCGAATAAAGTTTGAACGAAACACTCTTTGCACTCATTCTTTGCGCTCTTGCAAAAATTGAACAAATGACTACTTGAATTGTATTGTATATCTGTTGTACGTTAAAAGAGAACGAAAGATAAACACAGTGGACGATAATATACGCAGGCTGTCTATCTATTTTTCTTCTTTTGACGGATGAACGAAATGAAAAAAAACAGGGTTACATGGTACATGGTTTGTACCATAGAAGATCAATAATAATTGTTATTACTACTATATAAATGTATCAGAATGTTAATGTTCAGATCAAAACTGGTCAGAATGCTCAAACTCATTCAAACCACCACGGGAATTATCCTTAGTTCTCGATACATGCGTCAGTACGGCTGGAGAAAAGAAATAGACAAAACGCCGTACTTAGTATTATTCGTAACATGAATAATAAAGATAAGTTACATTTGGTTCAATATAATTCTCACTCGTCTATTGTATTTGGAAACGAAAACGATCAACAAAGAATGCTAAATGCTTCACATGGACTGCATCCAACTGGTGGTACGAATTTGATGACTGGTTTTGACCAAGTAAAAGCTCTGTTAAAGAAATATTCTAAACGGCTGACCTTAAAACGATTGTTCTTATGATGGACAAATAAATGAAGACGTTACACAGCATGAGCAACTTTTGAAAGAAGTAGCGTATATGAAGACGATATAGTCAAGAACTAAGAATAATTTCTGTAGTGATTTTGAATGAGTTTGAACATTTTGACAAGTTTTGATCTGAACATTAACATGCTGAATATTCATAGATTTTTTCTTCTATTTAGTTTCTTTTTACTCGATATTAACGATCTAATTCCCGTGTTGATGAAACTGTCTGCGAAGATTCATCCGAATCCAATCCTTCTATGTTTTGGACTACTATAATCAATTATTGTACTATTACAAATAATATGAAACGAATAATGCAAAGATCAGGAGTGAGAGTAAAAAATTCAAAATACTTGCCAAGTGTTTCAGGTGAGCACCTAAAATTTTTCAGGTTTTCTCAGAAACATTCAGGAAGTCAGAAAACAGTTTCATTAGACACATTGAGCAATTCTTTTGTAACAATGTTCATGATATGAAAAACGTCAGTACAAGTCGACGAAATTTCAAAAGTAAACATTACACACTTTTTTTAATAATTATCTTTGCATTACACGCATTTATCAAACAGCCTAATGATGTTACATTAATATGTGTTATGTATATTAAAACTAAGCCTGAAAACGCAAAATATCTGGAGGATGTGATTTAATAGATAGTGTTAAATGGCTTTTTTGTGTTTAAAAACTAGATTAGAATATTTAACTTATGATGCTAACACACATTAAAGACTAATTAAATCGAAAAGGAAAAACTTTCGCAATTGCGATGCTTTCAATGTTTTCAAACGAAAATTTTATTCAGATAAGAGTAGAAACATATTGTCGAACATCACCAATATCAGTTTTGTTTTCTTTGAGAATGAAACAGTCTGAGTTAAAACTAAAGTTTTGATAAAGTTGATGAATGAATCTAATTCTGGTGGTATTAATATTGTAGCTCATTTTGTAGACAATTGATCAATCATTCGTGGCTACAGAAAACAGTAGTTGAAGTCCCTGTCAGACGATAGTTAAGGCAAGGTGCTAAGGAATCAACATTCGTATGTACGCTGTTAAACCAGATGAATTAGATTGTAGGAACAAAGGAGAAAAAATCAGAGAGTGAAAGAAAATATCACATTCGTTACTGATACTATTTGAGCTGTCAGATATTTTTCTGTGTTATACTGGAATAAGTCCTTTTCCTGTGTTTCTCTTACGTTTTTACTCGTGAAACATGGAAAAGATACTTTAAGTAGGATGAAATCTTTTCTTTGAGAGCTTAAGCCTAGACATGGGCGGGACCAAGATTTTTCAGTCCAGGTCCTGTAAAGTTGTTCTGATCCCGTCCCGGCCCCGAAAATTTTTTATGTTGCCGGAGAAAACGCTTTATTAATAAAGTCTGCATGACGCAGATGTGAACTTCAATACCTAGGAATGAACTGTAAGACTTCTGGACGATTTTCCACAACGTTTCTATTTTAATATAGAGAACAGGTCAAGTTTCAGCTGATTTTATGCAACTGTCGAAAGACATTTTATTTTTAGTGCTGGTCCCGGAAAAAAAGTTTGTAGTTACGGTCCCGCTTTCGGTAAGAAATCTTTTTGATCCCGGTCCCGCCCATGTTTACTTAAGCCACTTTGACGTGTACACAACATTGTCAGTACCATTTTCGGTCAAAAATATGCTTCCTCTTTTCCTATTTTTCACCCAACACTCGTCTTAAAAAAGTTTTAACGTTCCTCTGTTTTCCAAAAGGACCATTGGGAAGCCAGAGAACACTCCTAACATACATGCAGCCAAGAATCATTTTTCCTTCGCTTTTTTTTTCTGCTAGGCATAAGAAATGAACAGTAATGAATATAAAAATAAATTTTTGTATAGCAGCAGTCATTTATCTAATTTGATAATTTAAATTTATCTTGACGTTTCGACTCTTCATAGAGTCATTTTCAAAAGTAGAATACAAACTGTATACAGTTAAAATTTAGATAAACAGAATGATGAAACTACTATCCGTTCCAAATGGTCAGACCGCTGGTTGCTTTTTGAATAACTTTTGATAGGAATGAGATAGAGACCTGCGATTTTCGCTGTTCAATAGCCAAGACTTGAGCAGAACTTTTCACAAGCGG